CGTCCATTCTCGTAAAGAAAGCGTTATCACAACTACCTCCAGGACCACAGACTGACACATATTATATGCTCAGGATTAAACCAGCGCTGAATCATTAAACAGAAGAAGCCCATGTGACATAGCGCCCTTATTAACACTGAAAGAATTTTAAGGTAACAAAGGAACACATTTATTTTCTTTTTTTTTTTTACTTCAGTCCAGTTAGTCCTTCTTTTAAGTGCCCAGAGGAAAAAGACTGCAAGCCTGGCATCGAGCTTAAATACCTGTTGATTGAAATATCTATGGAGTAAATGGAGTGTGGGAAACAAGTACTAATTAACTAACAGATGCTTTTGCCACAGACAGAAAGTCTGGTGGGAATCAGAAGATGTAAGAAAACTTGTTAGAAAGTACCCTAGGTCACAAAGGAATTGTACTATGTTCCAGCTGAAAAGCTCTGACTTGGTGTGATCATGATTCTGCTTGAAATCAGATGCGTTCCTCCAAGTCATCCCTCCGTTCACCTGTGCTCAGCGTGGGTGCCTGCTTCCTGTGCAGCAGCATCACATCCTTCCTTGCGTTGTTTCTGCTTCCACCGCTCGTCCTCTACACCTGCTTCAGCCTTTCAAAGCTTGCAGAGCTCTGGAAGCAAGGAGCATAAGTCAGATCTTTGCCTTTTTACTTGTGTGAGCTGCCCTATTAAAACATGAATCTCATAAATACAGAAATTGGGAATTGGTCCCATACTTCGATGTCTGCAGAACGCTGTGCACCCCTTTCGTTTTGCAAGTTAAGAATAGTCCCATATATATTTTTATGCTAATTGTGAATTGTTAGAGATCTTTGATACTAAGTCCCACTTAGGTAAAATCACACTAGCAGGATTGATAATTTTGAATTTAATTCATTTATTATTAAGCTAATGTGACTGTAGAAATGTTGCAGGACTATGCTAGGTTCTGAATGTATGCCAGAGTATTCACCTGTAAAAAAACTGTGCACTTTGTAGCTGGGTTTCTCAGCTCTGATTTTTTTTATGTGATTTCAATAGTTAAGGAAGTTGCATTCACAAATATGACTGCAGCAAGTTAACAATGATTTGCAAATGAGATTTTCAATAATCATGCAGCAAGTCTACCAGTATATAAAGGAAGACACTTGGAAAATTTATGTTTTCAGTTTTGAACCACCAAGATTAATTTTCACAGCTTACTACAGGACTGCATTCATTTCAAGACTTTTAATCTGATTAAATATATAGGGGTTTGCAAATTCTAATGAACACTAAATATACTAACAAGATTTGTATTTGTAGCAGTTTTATGATGGGATTTGTGTGCAACAGTCAGAATGACAGCTGGCTGAACTCTTTTATTGTTTTTCCTTGCCGTACTCTGCAGTCTGGAAGATGTATCGCTCCTTTTATGTTTTTCATAGCTGAAGCGTTCCCCAAGTTACCAGGCTACGTACCTAGTGTATTATGAGGCTATGGGAACCCATTTAGTGACACTATGGAGAGGAGTTGTTACTCTGCAGCTATTAAGCACCGGGGAAGCCTGGGCTAGAGCCGAGACGCGCGGAGCTGCTGTACGTAACACCCAGGTAACTCAAGCTAAAGCCAGCCTGAGCCGAACCGTAAGCGGGGCTTCGACGCAGACCCGCCGCTGCCGCCCTGCGTATCGGCTCCTGCTGTACGCCTCTGTGCAGCAATCTTCACGTACCCTACATGAAGGAGCTCAGGTTGTCAGGCAGGAGCTGGAAGGACCACGACTGGCGCAGTCCCCAGGCGCGTCTGGCCGATGAGGACAGGCACCTCGCTGCTCCTGTCCACGGAGAAGCGTGCCGCAGGGCTAAAGCAGAGCTAGCAAAGACGGAGAGCAGTTTGACCGGAGCGCTTCAGATCCTGTCCCTAAGCAGTCGCCCTCCCACAGCCCGTATGTATAGAGTCCGTATCTGCAACAGTTTTGTGAGAGTGTAACACATACTTCTACCGCTGTAAAACTCTGCTTTCCAACAACTCATTCAGTCATAAACAATTATTTCAGGCTTAAAGGAAACATAGAAATCTAGTTCAGGAGTGAATCACTGCTTTGTTCACATTTTAGCACGGATGTAAACAAGGTGTTTGGAATTGCTTTTCTTGCAAGAAAGCATTTAAATAGTTGACTTTCTTCAGCTGAAAAAAAAGTGATTACTGTAGGTCCAAGCGCGCTGCAGACATGTGCCGATGGTGCTCAGCCTCCAGCAACAATGGGAAAGCCACCAGTCCTATGTTATACTGTGTGGTACTGGGACATTTTCCAACTTGTTGCCCAGAAAAAGGAGAAGAGTAAGGAGGTACTATCTTATGGCTTGAGGGCATCTTGATTCTGAATTTGCATTGGGACAAGTTGCTTGCTTGAATGTTGTCTGGCATGACTTTGACAGGATTGTTTGGACTAGCATCAGTCCTTACTCAAATGTAAAGCTTTATTTCAAGTACATGCTCCTCTTCATACTCCTTACGCATTTAAATCACTCCTAGAGCACAGTAACAGTGTGCCTGTGTCACACCGTGGAGCGACCCAGGAAGACAGTCGAAGGGACTTTGTCAGCATCTGTAGTACCTCAACACCTTTTTCTGCATGATAGACTAGTTCCAGAGATGCACAGAAGTCTGACTTCCTTTTTATTTACACGTCACCCATCACTGATATCTAAAGGCTTTTGAAAATACAAGATATTTCACATAGGCGTAATTATACAATACTCTTGTGTTCTCTCATGTGTAAATGAAACTTAAATTTAAGGTTCTAAATTTTATGACACCATGAACTACAAGGAGGGTTTCATGGCAGTTTAAATTCAAAAATTGAACTTCTTAATTAATGAAATGTGGAAAAGAACGACATCAATACAGCAACCCCTTGCTATTTACTTTGATATTAAATTCAATTTGGTTTATGACACCTCCAAGTCATCGTGTGCTCTTAGTTTTTATATTGGCTGCAGAGAATGGCATTGTGGAAGCCTCAGGGCATAGAGCAAACTGGAAATTTTGGTGGGAGCACAGGACAAGTAGATCTTTTGGTGCTCGAAGAGACAGTGGCAGATAACCCCCTTGCCAACATATTTCTGTAAAAGTAATCAAATAAATAGCTTCAGTGCTCCATTTAGATACTTTTGCATATTTTATATATATATTCTGAATGACAAAAATTTCTTCAATACTTTTCAAATACAAGTTTTAACCTTACGAAAGCTGAACTATGGAAGTCCTGTTCCTGCAACCATTGAAAGGTGAAGTATGTTTATCCTTTATGATTACAAGAGTACATAGATTTAGAAATAGCACTGTTACTGTCAGCTGAATGGTATCTGCGGTACCCATACACAGGCACATCAGTGACAACATTATCAGTTGATACTGGACATCCCTGTCATACAGAAAGGGCTGTCTTCTTCACTGCTATCTGTTACTGTGGAAGTCCCAGTAAACTGAGGTTCTTGTCAGTCTGAACTCAGACAGGGATTTAAACACTGTAAAAAGCCATGTCTTCTAAATTCTTTCAGAACAAATGCAAATACATTCTCACTTCAAAAAATATAATAAACCCAACTCATTTAAATTAACATCCCTGTAATATCTGAAACCCAAATATTATGAAACTAGTCAGCTGTCAAAAAAAATCCGAACTGCAAAAAACCCAGTTGTTTTAAAGCAGAACGAAATACCAAAGAGAGCATAAATAATAACGGGATGACTTTTCTTTTTTTAACCAAAGATGTCAGTACTAAGTCAGGGTTTCTCCTGCAACCTGACTGAAGTCAGCAGTTAACCATTGACTTCAAAAGCCCTGGTGATGTGGCAGGGAAATGGTAAATTACCCGCTTTCAACTTGACCAAAACAGAATTTACTCGTTGCAGCCATGCAGCACACTTAGGAGTTTACCTGCTTCTTCATTTGCCATCATACCATTGAGAAAAGCTGAGATTTCATTGTTCCTTCACTCAAGGACCTCGGATCTCTTCAGAAGGACGAGTGAGAGCAACTAATGTGACTCCCACATGCAGGTGAGGCGTAAGGAGAATTGGAGCATCCCAGGCAACAGCCCTGTGCTTCCATGAGAAGCCACCGCCAGCTGCACCACAGGAGGCAACAGCACGGTAAGGCGAAGAGTTTTGCTCATGGGCTCTCAGGCTCACCAACGTTCCCTTTGCAGTGCCATGTTCTGCAGCTGGACCAGCGTTTTCCAGTCGTGTCCCCAGCCACGTCCTCCTTGGACGTGGTAGTGTGGCCTGGGAACTTGGCTGTAGCGTTTGACCCCTTGAAGGATTCAGCCCAGGTAGACTTTGACATTGGGGATTGGGCCCAGGGGCCTCAGTCTTCCTCGTGGCTGCAAAACTCACAGTATGCAAGCCAGTAATACATTTTACTACGATATTTTAAAATGCTGAGGGTGGCAAAGGACAATACCGTCAGGGTAACTCTGAATTTCTTTGCTTTCATGGGTTTAAATCAAGCTCTAAATTATTTTTAGTAGCTTGTTATTACAGCTTTTGCAACCTGAAGACAGACTAGTGCCTTTAATTCATTAGTAATTTCAACGGTTAATCAGAAAATGTCATTACCTAGCAAGACTGCAGCTCAAAATAAAGCACACTGGAGTTAAATTTAAATTAAAGCATGGACAGAAATGAATGCAGCCTTTGATCCCCCTTCCATCCAGACTGCACCCTGATGGGCACAGCTGGACAGGATAGAAATCGTGAGAAGACAGCAGTCTCGCCTGTTTAAGAGGATACCGTCAACTCATTAAGTCCTCGAGTCAATTAAAAAAAAATATTCACTGGGCTCTTTCAGAGCTCTCCTAAAGTTTGCTGCAATGGCCATTTCTTGCCAGTTTTATTTTTAAAAGGGGTTGATTTTCGGGTGTTTGACTGAAAAACTCACCGTTAACATCTGTTTAATCATCACGGTGGCCGAAGCTGTGTTTCTGTTAGCTGAGTGGGAGCCGTGAGCCTAAACAAAGGCACGTACCGCTGGCTGGCTGGCTGAAAGCGCATTCCTTTGGGCGAGGGAAGGGTCCAGCTTGTTCTGCAGTGCGTGAGGGTCCCCCCTTCCCCGGGTGGCACCAGCGGGGAAGCAGACGATGAAGGCGCATGGTCTCAGCTCACCTCCCCTGTGCCAGTAAGGATTTACCGACGCTGATGTGCGTCCCTTCCCGGGCATCCGCACTTACAGACGCTGGGGCCAGCGTGGGGTGGCTGAGGCGAGCCCTACAGCCACAGAGCGGAGGGTGCGGGCCTGTGCACGCTGAGCATCTCTTGCACGTATTGTCATTTGAGCTATGAGGTGGTCTCCTGCTGCTAACGAACGCGTTCTTTACCTTGCAGCTCTTCCTGCCCAAGGGCACGCTGTCACTGTTGAAAGAGGGCTACGCCTTTCCTCTGCGCTCCGTCGCTGCGTATGAGGGTTAGCCAGAAGCTGCATCCAGGCGTGTCTTCCAGCATTTTCTTGGGCAGCCATGTTTCCTATTTCCTTGTTCCAGTTCCCTGCATAGGAGACACTTGGGAATTCTTGCATTGTCTTCTGAAACACGTATTTGGTCCATTACAAGAACAGCTATATAGCAAATATAGTTGCAAACCCTCTTAGCGTAGCCTCTCCACAACTCAAAAACAATATGTACTTTGTATTCTTCCAATGTAACTGTCTGCAGCACAGCTTTTTCTTCCCCCCCACCCCATACAACAACATTGTTAAAAACCTCACACATACCACGCTGACTGGAGAAGTCTGTGACGTAGACTCAGGCTCACCACTGAATGATCCAGCCTTGCCACTGTCCTGACCTGTGCAGGGACTGGGTTGCCTTCCTTGCCAACACTCAGGGATGCTCCAGGCACCTTCCCACTTCCAGCTTTGATTTAGGAAACAGCAATAAAATTCTCTTCTGGGCTGTTTGGATTTGGTGGGAGGGAGCTTTATCAGCCCCAGTTGACTGAGGAGAGCGAGGGAGGTCTGATGGCAGGGGTAATTTGTCTGAGGATGACATTGGCATGGCACAGTGTGGTACAAGGTTACCTGCACTGCCTCACTGTGCAGTTCCACTTACATTTCTCTGGTGACCAGGTCAGTAGAAGAGTTGTCGCAAACTTCCTGGCACTTTTAAGAACCCTGGATCGCCTCACCGACCCTGTTTATAGCACAGCAGCACAAACACGCTGCCACAGCATCGCACCCTGGGGGAGAGCGGGGTCAGGACCAGTTTTGCTGTTGGGGACGTGTCACGTCGAAGCGCACCCCAGCTACGAGGAGCGCAACTTCAGCACAGAAGCCATCCGTTCAGGCAGCGTGTCACGGTCCTGTGTCACTGCTCCTTCCCACAGGGAACTGAACGGCTCCAGGGACAGCGGCAGGCCAGAGAACGTGCAGACTTTTGTTTTAGGTGGCTGTGCACTGTAATATTTGTAAATGTGTCCAGAGTATGGAATGAGTGCATGTTTTAAACCCAAAATATTATTTATTGGCTTTGGAGCTTTCCCTGCTCCGGTCTCTGCCTACTGGGACAGTGCTGGATTTCTGGTTTGTTTGAAATTTCACACAAAAACATATAATTCACTGAGCGTGGTGGTGCGGAGCCAGTTCCAGGGTTCTCAGCAATGGAACCGCCCTGCATTTAGCCATGGGGAATACATTTTGGAGGGGTCAGTAAAAGTTTCAGGGAACCCAAAGTCGGATGGTGGAAGGTGGCCAGCTGAGCTCCAGAAATCCGTGGTGCGAGTCTGCTTCCCCAGTTCTCCTTCCCTGTACGCCTCCGCCTTGCAGTGAGGGGCCTGCGTCCCACACTGCCGTCACCGCTGTCTCCACACAGCGTGGTGGGCACCCGCTCCCTCCACCTCCTCCTCTTCCCAGCAGGCTAGATGCTTTCTTACCGCTGCGAGGAAAGAGAAGGGGTCTGGATAAGGACTGCTCCAAAGTGTGGGAGGAGACCGTCATGGTTCCTGACGTGGCCGGGCCAAGCGGGCTGACAAAGGGCGCTTGGCTTGCTGCTGCGCGGTGGGGGGAGAGGGCCTGTACCCCAGCTGCACCCCGAGCAGCCCCAGCCGTGGGGACATGGGGAGGTGGCAGGGCTCGGCAGCAACGCCTCGTCCTGCACAGCCAGCCCGGAGCTCCTTGCCACCAGCCCTCCTGCGCAGCTGCCCACCTTTCTGCCTAAAGCCAGACCTGGGTATGTTTTAATCTGATTAACCGTGGCTTGGGAAGCCTGGACTGACACGGGGGAGACTATGAATTGTTATCTGTTACAATTGACAAGGTAAAATCATGACGTTGCTCAGCTCTGGCTTAAATTAGGGAGTTTTACCACAGCGGCGATCTCAAGGGAAGGTGGCGTGGAAGGAGCACATGGCTAATCAGCGCCCATGCCAGCCAGAATCCGATTAGCGGCGCAGCCAGCCTGCTCCAGCAGAAGGGACCAGAGGGGCACAGTTCTCCCAGAGAAGTGACAGAAGCGGAGTGGAGATGGCAGCAAAGGCCGACGGGCAGCGGCACGGTGTAAAATCTGGCATGACAGAAATTAAAATTTAAGGAGAGCGAGAAGAGCTCGACAAGCGGCAGCGGCGTGGGGCGGAGCGGTGCCAGGCCAGCCCTGCAGTGGGAAAAGCAGCTGCACACGGGGCCGGAGTGGGGTGGCAGCAACGCTCTGAGCTGGTTTCTATCAGACACAGCCGCACCTTTAGGGGAGGTTTTGCTGACATAGCTCGTGTCTGCTAGCGTGCGCGTGATTTCTTTTTTCCCTGAGCGCTAACTAATGCAGCTAACACGGGCAAAACTTGAAAACGCAGATTGAGCTTCAAGAGAAATAGGGCTCCTCGATCCCTTTCTTGCAGACACCGCACTGAAGATAGTCTTTGAGTTAAAAATCCTCCGTGCCACGAGGCATTTCGACCAATTAACTGTTCTGCCAGACATTCCGCACCCTGAGCTGGAGGTTGCCAGCACCGCCGACCGCCGGGAGCTGGGAGCAGGGCCGAGCATACCTGACCCCCTCTCCGTCCGCCTCCCGCTGCACCATC